GTCGTGGGAGAGGGCTTTAGTCGTGGGAGAGGGCTTAGTCGTGGGAGAGGGCTTAGTCGTGGGAGAGGGCTTAGTCGTGGGAGAGGGCTTAGTCGTGGGAGAGGGCTTAGTCGTGGGAGAGGGCTTAGTCGTGGGAGAGGGCTTTAGTCGTGGGAGCATCTCCAGGACGGCGCCTCGCCGCGCACGAGGACAGCGCCCCTCCTCGCCACCATCACGCTCGCCGCCTGCTGCACCGACGCCTACAAGAAAAAGAAATACATGCACGAAAAGAAATACACACGCGCGCCGCCTGCTGCACCGACGCCGTCGGGGCGACGCAGCCCGCCTGACAAGAAAAAGAAACACATGCGGGAAAAGAAACACATGCCTCCGCCATCGCAGCCCGCCTCCGCCATCGCGCAACCCTCCTCCGCTGGATCGTCGAGGAGTGAGGCCAGGCTCACCTGATCCGGAGAGACGCTCGAGGTCAGGGCGAGAGGAGGTCGAGACGCGGGCCGCGGGGCGACCGCTCGCCGCATGGCCCAGCTGGTGCCCGTGCAGCCCCGCCAGGGCCTCCGAGAGGCACTTTGCCACGTCGAGCAGCCCGGCCACCGAGCCAGCCTACAAGAAAAGAAACACGTGCAAAAAAGAAACAAAAGCGCCACGCCGGCCACCGAGCTAGCCTCGTCGAGGACTGGTAGGTGCCTGCGGACGCGGGGAGAGCGGTGTCGCACTCGTCATCACAGGGAGTGGGCACGCGTGCCGTGTGGAGTGGGCACGAGGTGCCGTGGGACGGCCGCCGGGCATTGGGGGCCGCTCGCCGGAAGCAGTTGTCCACCATAGTGCACAGCGCCGAGGACGCCGTCGCATTCCAGAGCACGGTCTGAGGGTTGCGCGTCATGACGGCCTCGACGGCGGTGGCGTCTGCGTCGCGCCCGAGCGCCACCACTTTCCGGCACACGTCCGTGTCGGTGACGATGCCGACCGCCGCGCGAGACGACGAGGATGTCCGCACGAGCGCGGCGTCGGCGTTCGCGGCGGCCATCTTGCGCGCGGCGTCAGAGACGGAGATGCCGGCGTCGATCAGAAGCGCCTTGCGCGGCCGCAGCGCGGCAACGCTGCGCCCCGACCGCTGGGAGCTGCGGACGGCGCCGAGGTCTATGACCGCCTCGCTGCCAACCGACGCAGTCTCGCCGTTGTTGGACGACCTGCGTGCATCTTGCGACTGCTGGATGATGTCTCGCAGCGCGCGGCGCGCGTGCGACTTCATCGGCCCGAACAGTATCGCCCGGCGGGACACGAAGCCTGGCTCGGGGCCCTCCATCGTAGCAGCAGCGCGGCAGCGCGGCAGCAGCGCGGCGGTCGAGAGCTCGGCGAAAGAGCAAGTGGGAGGCGCCAAACGGGGGCAAGAGAACAAAAAAGAATTTTACCCCGCGCTCCAAGTGCTGATCGTCCTTCCAAAATCCTGCTCGTGCAGGTGGGGACCCTGTCCTCCTCCCCCATCCCTCGTTTGCATTGCTGTTTTCTTTCTTTCTTTCTTTCCACAAAACTCCCTCGCACAACACTGGGCCGCACGGGACTGGCGCGCACCACACACCTCTCCTTAAAATCCCTGTGTGGTGGCGGCGTGCCGTCCTCCCATCCCTCCCTTGGGTTGTCTGTTTTTTTCTTTCTTTCTTTGGCGCGCACCGCGCACCGTGCGCGCCAGTCCCGTGCCCAGTGTTGTGCAAAAAAGAATTTAGCGGGGGGCACTGGACTGTCCTGTGTGGCTGTGTGCCGCCAAGGCGGGACGCACTCAGGGACAGTGGCGACGGGACGCGGCTCGAGGGGCGACTCCTAGAAGAGAGCCGCGTCCACTGGCAAGTCGAAAGGGCAAGGAGGCACAGCCTCTGCGCCGTTGCTGTAGTGGCCGCCGCCGCGGTATGAGTTCATCTGAATGGGCGAGCCCTCAAACGGCGGCCATCTGCGAGGCACACAGCCTCGCGCCGTGTTGAAGTCGATCGAGCGGTGCCCATGTAGCCACGCGAGTCGTTGCGGCAGCCCCGCCCAGCGTGGAACGGCGACGCCAGGCCACCGATGCGCCATCCGGTCAAGCCAGCTGAGAAGACCCTCCACGCTATCTTCGTGCGGCGTCCTGTCGAGCTTGGGCGTCCTGTCGAGGTGGTTGTGAAAGGCCTGCAGCGCCCACGTCCAGCTCGGCAGCGACGCTGGATCGGTCCAAGCCTCGGGATGCACGAATGCGCGCGACTCCTCCCAGTTAAGCGATCCATGCTAAGCCAATGCAGCGGTTTGCCCGCGGTCGCATCAGCGGGCCAGCATCCACCCTTCAAGAGCGCGCGCCAGCTCCTGCAGACTGCGGCCGCAGCGGCGGCATCCCCCCATGTGGAGAGCGCTGCGAGGCAGCAGCCGACAGCCTCCACGGGCAGGGAGGAGAGATCCGTCGAAGCGCCGCCCTCGGCGTCCGCAGCGCGCTGTGCGCACGTCGCGAGGAAGGAGGCTGACATATATGTGTATGTGCAATGTGCGGGCGCGCCGGGCGCGGGGGGCGCGGGGGGCGCGGGGGGACGGGTTTGGGGGGGGGGGGGGGGCTCGGGTTTATTCTGCACTTGGGCCCTCGGCAATGTTTTGACCGCGCAAGACATAAGGGTGGCTCAGGGCTCTGCCCGCAAGGCGCCCGCGTCGCCGACGCGGCGGTACCATTGACTAATCCCGGAATCACACCCACACGACCAAATAGCGAAAATCCGAATACCGTGCAAAAACCACGGAATCTGGCGAAGAACGTCGGTTCAAGTTGAGCACTTGAGCACTTGATAGGGCTCTGGGGTGGCACCGTGCGCCGCGCCTCTCGTCGATCGGGAGTTACTCGACTACGTCGAGGGGGGGGACGTCCGAACCACCGCGTGTCATCCCGGTCCAGCGTGTCAGTCCTTTCTGGTCTAGTGCCCGTCCTCTCCGCCCGTCGTGCAGAGTTGGTCGCACTCCGTGCATCTTCGTCCTTTAGACGTTTCATCTAGAGCAAGCGGGCGACGCGCCCCACGCCTGCCCGTCAGTCGGGTGGGGCTTGCACGGGGGGTATATTGCAGATTTGTCAATGGTACCGCGTCTGCGACGCGGGCGCCTTGCGGGTTTCCCTCTTGCGAGAGCGATATGCCATGTCCGCCTTGCGTTGTTTCATAACATCGAAGGCTAAGCTAAAAAAAAATACAATGCGGAGCGAATGGCGACAGTCGTAATGAAAAGCTTCGCACTCGTCGTGCTAGCGCTGGCCGCCGCAGAGGCGCTGCAACTGCACCCCGCCGGCGCTAATGGCGCTGTGCGTACCGCCGGCGCTATTGGCGCTGTGCGTACCGCTGGCGCGCTGCGTCCCGCCGCCCGTCGCAGCGGCGAAATTCACCTCCTCGACAAGAAGGGCGAGGCGCATAGCACCGTCGTCTTTCTGCGCCACGGGCAGAGTACGTGGAATGCCGACTCGCTCTTCACGGGCTGGGCCGACGTCGAACTGACGACGCTGGGCAAGAACGAGGCCGCGGGCGCCGCGGCGACCCTCTGGAAGGAGGGCATCGAGTTTGACGTCGCCTACTGCAGCCGGCTCAAGCGTGCGAGGCAGACGCTCGAAATCGTGCTCAGCATCTCCGGCCAGGAGGAGGTGCCTGTCAACGCGTGCTGGCGACTGAACGAGCGAATGTACGGCGGGCTGACCGGTCTCAACAAGAAGGAGACGGCCGCCAAGTATGGCGACGAGCAGGTCAAGCGGTGGCGCCGCTCGTACGACGTCCCTCCTCCCCCGGTCGAAAAGGACTCGCCGTACTACCCGGGCAACAACCCGCAGTACTACCACATCCGGGAGGAGGAGCTGCCCCTGTCAGAGTGCCTTAAGGCGCGCGCCCGGGCGGTGGCGGCCGGTGGCGGCGGCGGGCGGCGGTGGTGGTGACACAGACCTGCCGCCGTGACACACAGCCCTGCAGCCAAGTGCCTCTCGCACTGGCTCCTCCCTGCCGAGCCATCCTCCCGCGCCGCCTCCTCGCCCTACTACACAGGACACGCTCGAGCGCACGCTTCCCTACTGGGAGAGCGACATCGTGCCGGCGCTGACCAAGGGCAAGACGGTGCCCGAGATCACCCGAGATCACCCGAGATTACGAGCACTCCTCTTGTCGGACGCTCTGTTGCCGTAGCGCGCGCACGGAGAGAGACGAGCGCGCCGTGCGGTTCCGGGGTGCTCGTAATCTCGGGTGATCTCGGGTGATCTCG